GAGGTGAGGTTGCGGTGAGAAAGCACCACTTAGCGAGCATTGGGCGTACGTACTTGGCCTTGTTCCTGTGAAAGCCTACGTTTGAAATGAGCTCATCCAGCTCGTTCTCAGGCGTATCCAATATGTTTCCGACCGTAAGCCCATGTTTCTGCGACGCAACTAGTCAGGGCCAGGCCTTTTGAAGGAGTGAAGCTTTTGGGTTATTGTACCTGCAGACGCCGAATGGCTGCCGCTGTCTGCTGATCCTTTGTTTGACTCGAGAGCATGAGCGCCACGAGGGTTTGATAGCGTTGCACCTTGGAAGAAGCAACAATGAGGAAAGAAATATTGGACCGCAATGAGCCTCATCGGGGAGCGATTTCTACCTTAGGTTCGGCGTCCTCGGCCAACACTTCACATCCCATCGTATCTACAGGCGCGTCTCTATTCTTGCGCATCTCCGTAATGCCATCCCACACCTTGTATGCAAGGAGCACTGACCATGTGAGGCAATCCTACAGTCCACATGGGAACAAGAAGGCCCTACCTTGACCCAGTCATCAGGTACTTCCTGAGCCTCTGCGCTCTCGTTCTCCGTCCTGCTCCTCTTCTTTGGTTCCTCGTTGCGCTTCCCGGTGGCCTCTCGCTCTTCTTTGGCGGTGTCCTCGGCATTGCCCTCCTTCACTTCTTCTTTTAAATCCACACTGCGCTGCTGGGTCAAATCCACAATTTATTATTTAACTTATTATTGTCAAAAAGCAATAAATAAATTATAAAGACCAAATAACAAAGTCTTGATCCTACCTCCGTGGCTGCTTCTCTGCTGCGCTTTCTACGTCGAGACAGGGCCTCTGGGGAAGGGGTTTTATGAGAGGAGAGAAAATATAAAGGCAGGGCTGCAGGTACCCATCTCCAGTAAGATCGATTGACGCGATGCTGACCCAAACAGGCGAACAAAAAGAGTGGAAGTCACAAGCGACCACCCTCTGCTCGAAGGGTGCCGACCGCGGGCTGGAAGAACGGGACCACAAGAAGCAATCCACAGGTGCCCGTCTCTTGCGCGTACTGCGCCAGCACTGCGTAGCATTGCGAGCATTCCAGTGCCAAAGCCCGCTTTTTGCCAGGAAGACAAAAAAACAGTTTGTTCTCTTTTTTTGTTGACCGTTTGTGCGAAGAAGAGCGCTCTGGTTGGAGGTCGATCAAGTAGAGGCGTGATTTAATAGATATACGATTAATCGAAGGAAAAAGGAGGGGCTGGAGAAAGCGCTGGGTGGACCAAGGCGAGAAGAGATCGGCGAAATCGAGAGCTCTGGCACAGAATAATTCTATGATCAGAGGCTAAAGCGATTCTA